TTTTTTTTTTTTTTTTGTTTCTTTAGCGGTTTTATTCGTTTTTCTTTTTCAATACTTCTTTTGTTTACATTCTAACTAAATTAAGCAATTAATTTCTCATTGCTTAGTCATAAAAGTAGTTAAAATAAACCGTATTTAAGACTGAATTTAATGATAAAAATTTGTGCTTTTGTAAAGCTTATTTAGTTTTATGCTGTTTATCCATCTGTCAACTGCTGTAGTTAAGTTAATACAGTAAAGAATAAAATGTATAATCTGTTTTTTTTAGTTTTTCCAAATCATTATAATTGCCAGCAAAAATGTACTATAAAGAAAAAAATTGCTGATTTTTAAAAGATGTAAAGATAAAAATTTAAACAGATATACAACTTATACAAAAGAATAAAAAACAGAAACAAAGTAATGTGACAGAACAGTATTGAAGTGTGTAATGTGAAGTTAAGTTTGAAGTCATAAATCTGAAATACTTTTACGGGTAGTATATAAAGTCGCCTATGGTCTAATGACTGCTGTTGATTACCACCATCTAACAGTTTAATACTTCCATAAAGTATCGGCTAACTTTTAAACAGCAGTAAGTAAACATTATATGTTAACAAAGACAAGCAAAAAAAAACAACTGCTTAACTTTATTTTTGTTAGCAATTATACAGTTTAAGAATAACGCTTATTAAAATTGAAAAAAGCAGAAAAGGTCGCTGGAAAAAAAAAAAAAGAAGGAAAGAAGGAAAAATTGAAAGAAGTAGTGCCGTTGTTTTGAGCTATTTTTGCAACGACTATCAAAACTGTCATATTTGGTCATCAAAGATTGTTGGTTTTAATTTAAAAATTTCTTGCTATGCTTATTTGTAAATGCAAAAAAAGAAAAAAAAATAAGGTCATAGAAGAGGAAAAAGAAAAAATTGGTGGTTTTCTGGGAAAAATATTGCATATGTATTTGACAATTGATTGAAAATTTTGCATACATTGTAACAAAGAGTCTCTTTTATTTTTGATCATTCCTAAATCAGAAACAACAATATAAATATGAACCATCGTCGTTGTCGTTGTCATCGTCGTCATCGTCATCATCATCATCGTCGTCGTCGTTGAAGTTTCTTCTTGATCATCGCTAGATCAGCATTGTCGGACATCATCTTGATATCTCAAGCAGCACTTATTTTTAAAACTGTCCTGATGTTTCGCCGATAACCAATTAAAATTCTGTTATGACCATTCGTCATAAGT